GATTTTATTGTTGCTTGTAGCAGCGAGACCCATTGCGGCTTGTACGGACGGCAAGTTGCTAATCTTCTTTCCAATTAGATTCCTGCGTTTCTCTTTTATCTCTATGTACAAACTTGACAAGTTCCATTCATTTTATAAATTTCATGTTTCTTGTTTTGTATTCTCACGCTTTAATCGCCTTTTACCTGCCTCTCTTTCCTCGCTCCTCCACTTTAATCGTGATTTTCATGATTATCTAACTCGTTCTCGTTTCAACTTGCATAAAATGTCCCTCAGGTATCAATTTGCGATTAGTTCTCAAGCCCCGACTATTTGGAACGATATCCCCTTGACTGTCCGTGACAGCCTTACCACTACTAAATTTAAAAAGAAACTAAAACTTCACTTTTTAAGCCTGAATTGAACTAGCGCAGGATTCTCATAGTTTATTGTTAGTTTATTTGTCACTAGTTCCGTCTCTGTTATAAGACTGCATGCATGTAAACTTATTTAATTTCAGTTTTGTATCTTGTTTTAGTTTTGTAGTTTAGCCTACAGTCATTTCTATATAAAATAATTTCTGTCATTCTGACCACAGGCCGTATAGGCCCCCGGCTTTGGCTTTACTGAGTTTGTACTATATGAGTGATGGAATAATAAAGTTAAAGTTAAGTTAAAAAGTCCTCGCGTGTCCTAAGACGTTACGCTCCCATCGACTCATCTCGGCCTACAAAACCCACTATCGAAAATGCCACTAACGTTTTCTTCTGGTGACTTCATTACAATATAAATGTTACTCGTCAATACTAGGCTACTGTATATTTAATACCGCAGACGCTTCTTCACTGCAGCCATCTTGTTATGCTCATTGAGATGCGCAGTGTAAGGGAATCCGGGAAAGGTTTGCTTGTGCAATCGGAAATAGAGGCTTTACATCCGGAATACAACTCCAGGAATTCGGATCCCGGTAACGCTTGGAATCAAGTCTGTAATACAAGTTCCACTGACCGGGATCCAGTACCTAAAATCCGGAATCCACAGTGTGAAATGCAGAATCCAAGACTGTCTTGGATTTGCTTGGATGGGGAGACGGAGGGGGGCAGTCCAACTTAACTCCAGCGTAAGGCTGGCAACGACGAGTTGTTTCGATGCGAAACAATATATTTTGTGTGGATGAACCCTCGAAATGCGAACTACATCCTAACAGTAACGAATGTGGTATAGTTTTATTCGTTTTATAAATTTTCCTGTAGAACCAGTGACAAGAGGTAACGAAAGAAAGAATGTCTGATAAAACAAGACTTGTCGAAGGTATGTTAACGTCTATTCCCTGTTTTTACTGTCGCGCGATAAAAAATTACAAACCATTCAATGAGGAAAGTCCAGAATCTGGGAAATGCTTTGCCAAGATCGGCCAGAATTAGGTTTGTACGATATTTCATATGCGAGGTAGTCGGAAAAACGTTTTGCCCAAATTTATAAAGTTTTGTACAGAGACGCCATGTTGGTGTCCCTTTGAGAGGCACATATATGGCCAAAGGAAACCATCAGAAACATCTGTTTTTGAGTTTCCCTACCAACGCGTAAATTCATCGCTTGAAGAACTCCTAAAGATTAAAGTAATATTTATTCTGAGACAAGGGATGATTAGATAGCAAAATCTCAAAAAATCGGTAACGTTTTGAACCCTAACAAGCAATTTCCCTGTCGCCAGCAAAAGCCTGAAAATTCAAGCGTCTTCTTGCGCAAAAAAGGAACCTTTTCGAACCGAAAATTTGAGTAAATTAAGGTGTTTAGGTCCTATAATACCTTATGAAAGTAGAACCTCAGAGGAACCGATAGTTTCTTAGTCTGAATTTCGGTGACGTCATGTAAAACCGAGAATTATCTCGGTGGGTGCCCACCTTAGTATAGAACGCAATTTAGATTATAAGAAATCAGTCAAAACTTTCCCAACGGTGTCCTCAGAGACAGCATTAAAAAAGACGGAAAAAGAATTTGGTATTTAAGAACGAAAACGGGTACGGTATTATTCAAGCAAACCGCCCAGGTGATTTAGCTACGACGTTTTACATAACTTTAGCAACCAAATCACCACTGGGCTTGCAATTTTGACTGGACTGTTCTGTATTACGTCACTTGGTGGTTGCACGCGTCCATAGCAACTAGGAACTACCACAGCAATGACCAATGAGAATGAATATATATAAATTATGTATATTTTTCTACATAAATGATATTTTATTATTGAATTATTTTCCACTGACAAATTATCTCCCTCTTGAAGAGGAACTGTCCCCCCCACCATATCCAGCACAACAAGTTAACTTGCCTGCTCAGTCAGGTTATTCAGCTCAGCCTGGTTACTCAGCCCAGCCTGGTTACCCACAGCAACCATACAATGCACAGCCGGGGTACCCAGGCCCCCAGCCTTTTACTGGACAACCCATGGGTTATCCACAACCGTACCCAATGACGCAGCAAAGTTCAACAACGGTGGTTATGCAGGTGCGGTTTTTAAATAATATTGTACGGGTGCAGTTGAGAGGAATGTTTAGATCATAAGAACTGCAGAGGTATTAATTTGATGACGTCATGAACGTGCCCAATGGCACAATGGAAATATGAAGTTAGCTCCTGCTATGAATTTTTTCTTGCGAGTTTTCTAGTTTTGTTATAGTGCCTTATGACATGAGGATGTCAGGAAGAAAATTTCGCGTCTGTTAAACGCAGCTGGGTAGGATGTGTTATATAACTTCTTGAACGAATGATTTCGCTTAGATTTTTATTTATCTAATTTTTTTTCGCGAAATATTTAATGAGCTTAAAAAAGGATGCAATGGGCTGTATACAGCAGAAACATCGAATAAAAGAAGCAAGGCTGATTTTACAGTCGGGAATATACATTTTTTGTTACCAATATTTCGCAAGGCACGGCCTTCCTTCTTCAGGGTCGTACATACAATATTGGTAACAAAAAATATATATTCAGGACTGTAAAATCAGCCATGCTTCTTTTGTTCGATATTTCAACTTATAGCTGATGAGATTCTTTATTAGGAACGGGTCCTTCTTTTTTGTAACGTTGGTCCTTGCTTCCAAAATTCAATGCACGTTCAGATGTAGTTATTTTCCAATAAAATCGGTAACAGCCAATCTTTAGTTGAATATAGGAATCTTGTGATTGAATTTATACTAATTGCATCCCCATTGTATTTCATTTATCAGCCCAGCCCAACAGTCATCTTGCCGATGACTCCTCGTCCACAGAACTGGCTGGTCTTGTCCATTTTGACCTGTTTGTTCTGTGCCTGGCCGATCGGGTTAGCCGCCATTGTCTTCAGTAGCATGGTAAGTCTGTCATTCTTTTTAAGTTGATTAATCTAGTAAAGCATTGGAACTTACAAGCGTGAGCAGTGGTTCCACCTTCCCCCCGCGCTGGCTCTGTAACCTCCATCTTGAGTAGCTTTGTACTTATTGTCACCCTTGCATGAAAAGTCGATTGCTATGATTACGATTAAGACGTCATCAGTGGCAAGAGTTCGACCATTTTTTTTTAGCATAACTACGCAATTTCATGGCGGCTGTTTTGAATACTTGTCATTGGTGTGTTTGTGTGGCACTTGAGATCAACAAGAGGAGAGAGTATAATGTCTATAAAAGTGCCATTCAGCTTTCCTAGGTCCATTCTTCTTGCGAGATGGCGTTTCCGCTGCCAAAAATTTTCCCTGAAATCGCACAAGTTACCCTGCTCGCAGGTTATGAAACATTTTGACGCCATCTCTCTTCAGAAATCCGGCTCAACGCCTAAGCCAATGTAACATTAATGTGACATTAATCCTACCCTGTTATTTTTAGAACGCTAAGTTTTCCGTCGGTGCATTTTCTCTTTTTTCCTTTTTTTCGAAGGCTTATTGATCACTACTCGTTCTTGACTAGTAATTATATTTCATACGTCCTATTTTTTGTACAGCGTTTACAATTTGGGTAAATCTTTCACAACAATTTCAGTTTTAAGTGAATCTTTACAATCTCTCCTCTCCTCTCTCTGTATCGTACCTTGCCTTGCAAAATTGTGTAATCTCCGTTTTCTGACCTCGTTATCTACTATTATCATTATTATTCCCAGGTGGATAGTGCATATGATGGAGGTGATTACGAAGGCGCAAGACGAAACTCAAGAATTGCTATGTGGTTGAATATCGCCTCTATCCTCTGTGGCGTGGGCGCGATCGTTTTTATCATCATTTATTTCACCGCAATAGTTGCCTCTTACAGTGGCACTTACTAGATGATTTTACCAACTGGACACAAAAAGTCGTCTGCGTTTTTTATACAGTACTTTAACAAGGAGATGAAGTAGTTTTAACCTTGGCTTTGACGTGTTAAATTACCTTAAGCTTTTTGAGTATTGCTCGTTTGTTTGTTTTTGGAACGAAATCGCGTGAAGAGGAAACTGTACTCTTTTTGTATCGAATATGAAGTGAAAATGAAACTACATATTACACGTAATTGTAGGCAAAGTTAATAGTAAAAGAAAAAGTGTTTTTAGTTGTGTAAAAAAATAAAATACCTGTAACTTATATTTTGCTTTTTTTGCGTTAACGATTGGGCTATTATAATCGTTAAAACAAGGGTTACTAAGGGTGCTGTCATACCGGAAAGTCACCACACTTTCTTACCACACACTGACAAAAACTCGAATAAAAAAAGTCAGTATTCGGATTTCTTGCTCGGCTCACAAACTTGGCACAAAGAAGCCTTAGCAATTAGCTCCTCGGTATCACAGTCGAGCGCAGCGAAGGCGAGAAGAGGGTGGAAAGGCGTATAAAAAAACAGGGCTTTGTACTGGTGGGAGGAGAAACGAAGTCTCGATGGCAACCAGTCATTTAAAAGCCATTAAAAGATCATCTTAAATCATGCTTTCATGGCCACTGCTATAGTCACTAACCACATACACGGCATCTAAATTGTTCCTATGGCATGGCTCTCTTTGGCCCCCAGTTTTTGTACCCATGCCATGGTAACCATCACACACTACATGACATTAAGAGCCATTATTCTTGATCACAGACAATGCATTCATCTTGCGTGACATTCTCAGAAAAACAGGAAGACGATGATGTAATCTCTTGGAGAATTCCCCAAGAACATCTAAGTCTTGTGATTTATCAGGTGAAGCAAAAACTAACTTTTAATCAAGGAAAATACAAAAGTTTTTATCCACTTTCTTCTCCGTGTTTAATCCCTCTTTTTCAACAATTTTGTCAATAGCATCCTTTTTCCATTTATGTATTAATTTCCAATTGTGCCTCTTCCTTTGTTCTCTTTCTGTAACTCACGTGTATTTAGTATCGTTTTTGTCAGTTGTGTAATATTTCTTTTCCTTTTTATCTTTTATCTCAAATTTTGTATCCAATTGTTTTATTCTCTCTCGTGACTCATCTTTTGTTTCAATTTTTACTTGGTACCCAATCTTTTTTGTTTTGTTTGGATTGTATCTTGTTCAAAACACGTTTTCCATATCTGTCTGCAAACTCTCCTTTATGTTTATTCTCAACAGCTTCAAGGCTTTTTTTGTCCGCACTTGAAGCATTTACAATGAGTTCCGTTTTGATAGTATCTGTGGAGTTCTTGTCAATGTACTCATACACACTGCTATTTTTGTTTGTCAAATGCCCTTTTAACCCAGTCCTCAGTTCCTCTCATGTTGACCAAATATATATTTTGTCATCAATCGTTATCTCATAAATTTTGCCAGTTTTGAACCGACTATTAAACCTTGCATTTGCCATTTTTAAAAGTGCTTGCTTTCTTGGGTAATATCTTTCGTTTATTTGACTATTACATCAGATACGTTGTAATGCTCATTTAATATCACAACCTTGGTATTTGTAAACTGTTACACTGAATGAGCACAGGAGTAAAATAATGAGCAAACTCATTCTTTTCAAACCAAAAATCATTGCTTTTCAAACTATCACCCTTGATTTCCTTAATTATAAACTCCATTGTGTTAAGTATATCCTTGTCCTTTATGTTGTGTGTAGCTAATATTGGCATTTCCTCACTCACTTCGTATGTCTCCCTTTTGTTGTTTTATTGAAATCAAATGCAATCATTATTGCGTCTTTGTTATTCTCCTTGACAAATCTTTTGCAACACTCATCTGCGGCCTTCTTTCTTGTATCATTCAAATAACAAATACCGTAAAATTCCGAAAATAAGCCCCTCCATGGATACGCCCCCCAAACCGTTAACGCTAAAATGGAACCCGTCCGTTAAATAGCCCCTCCAAATATAAGCCTCCCCGGGGGCTTGTACTTGGAAAATTGCAAACAAAGTAAAACAAAGCAAAAACGGTAAATTTACTTCCAACTAAAAGGTTAGCCCAATCGATTTTGAAACACAAATTTCCCTCCGGATATACGCCCCTCCAAAAACAAGCCCCTCAATATCCTTAATCCATATCCTTATTATTTTTCCTTTCTAGTTTTTGTGTTGTACGTCATTTCCGCCTCTCCCTTTTAAACAATTTTTATTGCGACATTCTGATCTATATAATATCGTGATTGCTACATGAGTTCAGTAACCTCTGTAAACCTGAAGAGGGCTGGTATAGCAGCCGAAATATTGTTATAAAAAACAATACACGTTGTTTTAAATCAGCTTTGCAGTAGTCTTTGGACTTCTCGTTTATGGTTCTTTATATTTTGGCTGATTAGATCTCTTTTCCAGAGATCCAACTTTTACAGCTAGCAGGATCTTCGTCCACGGTTTTTGCAGTTAATTTAATCCTTTATTATTCCCTCAAAAAGGGCCGTTGAAAAATATAAGCCCCAGGGCTAATTTTCGGTATTTTACGGCATTTCTATAAAATTTGCCAATGGGATTGAATTTACATTTTATCTTTCCTCAGTTAAAAAAGGCCTAACGATCCGTGTCAGAAATTTCAGGGTTTTTTTATGAACGTTTACTTTTATAATTGGTGATTAAGGTAAACATGCTTGCCACTTCGATTGGGAAAATGTTTGAACTGTGCGTGTTTGTCGATTTTACTTGGAAGAATGTCCCAGTAACTGTATTATAAAAATCACTGTTTGATGTTTTTAAACAGGCGAAATCGATGTAAAAAAATGTGTCTAGCATGTTTTTCATCGTGAGCAGAGATTATCTAGAGCCATAATAGGATCTCTTGAATTTTAACGATAAAAAGCGTAAAATTCCTAAAGCACCCCCTGAACGCGAGCTGAGGGCGCAGTAATGTTTGAACAGTCTCCTATTTTTCTCACTTCGTCCCAAACCTTCCCTTGTCCCATTAGTATTTTTGACACTCATCCACCTGTAAGGCAAAACGCTCGATTTCGACGATCTTACGGAAAAATCGGGGACTGTGAACAGTCTATCTCATAATGTTTTTCATATTATCAAAAATAAATAATTTTCTACCTGCCAGTGCACAGCAACGAGCCATTTTTCGTCGCTTTCTTCGCTTTCTTGGTAACGTTTTAAGTAGTATAGTATGGACCGAATTATCCGTTTTTTGGGATGGAGAGAAACTCATACATGAACGCTCATGAATAAAATGCGTTGGATTCTCATTGCTTTTCTTTTTTGTGGTTACTGGCTTATGCCAGTAAAGCACTATCTCATATCTCATGTCTCTTATGTTCATTAGGTCATTTTAATTGTTCTCCCACGTGCGCTAACGCGTAACTTTAATATCGAAGTATAAATTCTCATTTGATGCCTCAATACATTTCCTCACAAGCAGGTAAGAGTTGTTATAGCATTGATTTAAATCATGAACTTATACTTTATTTTTGTGACCACTCTGTTTTATAAAGCGCTGTTATGATAAGAAGGACTTTGATGCTGATCGTTTTTAAAGGTTAAATAGGATACAGTCAGACCTCTCCACAACGGCCATCTTGGGGTAGAAGAAAGTAGCTCTTGTGGAAAGGTAGGGGTGTGATATGACAGTTTTTTAGGGAGTACAACACAGATTGTGCTAAATTCATGCTTACTGTCTCCAATAATGGTGATAATCCAATCATAGCCCTCGAGCAAACGTATTTCCAGCAGGGGAGGCTAACTTTGGGCAGGCTATGTATCAGTGCCTAGAAGGGTAACCCCAGTACACCCATGATCACCCGCGCGTTGATCTGGCCCGGCCACTTAGCTTCGGTGCAACGACTTTTGGTCTTTTTGGATTATATCCCAATTCAAAGTCTGTTGGATTCTTTTCTCTAGCTAGTAAAGCTTACTTAGTTGGTATATCTGATGCTGTCCTATTTCCACCATCCTAGCATGTTTATAATCTACCTTTGGAGTTTGAATTCCGTGGAAAAAGTTGTGTTGGAAAGGGAGCATGGCGGCCGAGACTCCTACCTTGTGTGTTATATTACATGAGGGTGAATTTGAGCAAATTATCAAGAAAATTCGTTTGAGCATTAAGGACAACAACAACTGTAAAGTAAGTTTCATTGACCTTTAGTTAGCGTTTTCTGCAAATTCTAGGATTTTATTTTACCCCATACAAACACCGTAATTTTACTGGAACTGTACTGTGGTACTCTCACAGAGCCTGGGTTACCTGTGTTATTACTGTGAAGAGCAGACTGCATGAGATGTACAGTAACAAAGCTGGCACCTAAAAGCGTTGGATCATACAGTGACCTAGGAAACAGGGTTTTCAAATTAATAACTCACGCACACAATTTGCACGTGGAGATGTTGCACTTTGCCCCTAGGCCAATCGTCGGACTCAGTTCATGAGACGAACCAAACTCTAAATGAAGTTAAGATGGTCTTCTTGGTCAGTAGAATCGCACGTGACTTTGACAGACTTTAATAAGACGGGTAGACTAATTCTAAAACACTTAATCCACGAGTTAGCCATAGGCGTCCAATCATTTTCAAAAACCAAGCTGAGTGAAATAAATCTTCTTTTCTTCTTCTTCTTCTTCTTGTCACGAAACTGACACTAGTGTAAAACATTCATTATTTGCAGCATACGAGCGTTGCATTTGTCCCAAACATAGTATTTAAAGTGGAATGGTTATCAGAAACCCGTTAGACTCCTTTGATATATGTTTTTGTTAGCTTTCGTGGACATGACTGTGTACAACGTTCAACAGCATTCCTACAATTTTGAACTTAGTTCCTGTATCACTTCTTCAGCACACTGGTCTTCAAATTTGGCATCAACCGATATCCTTCATAAAGAGCAGGTATGTTTACAACTTGGTGTTCGGCCGAATTTCAGAAACAAATGGAGTCGGGGACAGCACTGATGAGATTGGGGTCGATTTAACTCTATCTGTTGTGAATCCCTTACATGGCAGCTGGCTGGTGAGCCCTTTCCAACCACTTTACAGGCAGTGTGGGAAAGCGACAAATTGCAAAAGGAAAGAGCAAAGCGGGAATCAGTATCCGAACTTGTTCAAGGGAAGAAAACCATATCGCCTGAAGATCCATTTGAAAACATTGAGGCGATCCTTATCTAGAAACTAATTGGCAGCGTCATTGAATTAAAGTTGCTCATATTGTATCAGTGTACTTTTAAAAGATGTTATGTTGCTGACATTGTTGAACATTTCAGTCAGTCCCTTGTTGCGTGTCTATTCCGTTATGGTTAAATAAAGTGCAGAATTGGAAGTTTAAGAAACAGGCACCAATGTACTTGATTTGCGAAATTTAATTACCTTGAAAAACGATGATTCGTCAAAATCGCGACATTTAAGTCCCGCGAGAAATATTTCTATTCCAAATTCGCGAAATTCAAGTGGCAGTCGCGCAAAAATAAGTGATAATAAGGTATATTCTAACAGATCGTCTGCGCGGGCGTTTAAACGGACGCGAATTTTTTTTTCTGAAATCTCCATGTCATTCCCATTTATCAAATTCAATAGCACGAACTTACCTTATTCTCCTTTATTTTCGCGGGACTTAAATTTAGCGAAAATTTTCTCCGCACATTTCGCGAGTCTTTAATTTCGCGATCGCGGAGAAAAATTGTGTTTGCAGCGAATTTAATTTCGCGAAATAGACGATTAAGTGACTTTATTTTTTCTTTTTTACAAAAATTGTACGTTAATCAACAATTGAAACAAAACCAATATGCTGTCCCTTAGCGGCAGCCGTATTCCTCTAAAAGTCAGTCTTACAGTAATATAAAAAAATCTTCTTGTTCTTCCGAGTCATCATCGAGTATCGAGAGTATCGTTACATGTCCTTTCCAGGAGATCTCAACAGAACCTTCAGTCTCTTCAAATGGATCCTCAGAGGGAAGACTAAACGATTCATCTAATAGTTGGGCGATGCCAACCTTTTCCTACCCTTTAGCGATGTGACAATTTTTAAAATTTTTAAAACTAAACTAGTGAGCAGCACTCTGCGAACTGTTGCTGTAAAACTTATTCATTCTCCTACGCGTTTCGTCTAACTAACGTAGACTTCTTCAGGGAGTTTTACAATCAAGTACTAAACGCCTGTATTTAAGCCATAATATGACTAAAAATAATGATGGTAAGGTTTGGCCGGATTTACGAAAAGGAACAGGCGCAGCTGTGAAATTTTTTTACGCAAGGCGTGAGAAAACTTTGGGATCCATGGTTTTAACTAAAATTAGTAATAAACAAGTAAACAAGTAAACAAAACAAGTGAGTGCTGCTCAGTAGTTTAGTTTGAAAAATATTAAAAATTGTAGAAATTAACATCTAAAGTTGATAGATGATAGCTCCTTGTACTAACACCTTGTGTTAAAAATTGTTTAGGACCCTTGAAAACACAAATACATGATTTTCTATGTCCATTAAATTTCGCGAGATCAAAGTTCGCGGTCGTTATTTTTCGCGGGTCTTTAAGTTCGCGAATTTTTCAAAATCGCGAAAATCGCGAATTTAAGAACCCGCGAAAATTAAGGAGAATAAGGTACTTCATATTAATTCCATTGAGCACGCTGATGACGTCAAATACCTCTATTTCTTATAAGCTAAGCAATCCTTTCAACTGTATCCTTACAAAAGTCAAAAGCACACGACTAAGCGCTCAGCATGTGTTTTGATTCACAATTGGTTCATGCTTCAGCTGTGCGTATGTCGAGATATAAAGCCCTCGGGAAGTTTGGAGAGCACCCAAGAGGCTAGAGCAGTTACCTCGGAGTAAGAACCTGTGAACTTTTTCTTTGTTTCGCACCTTTTGTTTTTCTGGGTTCTATTGTGTTGACTTCTTTGTTTTCTTTGTTTTACGTCACCGGTGATTGTAAGAGGTTCCTACACCGAGGATGAGCCGCCTCGAGCCACTTTACGCCTCTTTTATCTCGACAAACGCACGCTGACGCGTGAACCAACTGTTAATGAACAAATCAGGCCAAGCTGATTTACGTTACTTACCTACCTTACAAGACCAGGGACAGTGAACAGCACAGGTTTTCACCCTGGTTATGATTAGAGGGGAGGGAAGGGTCCGGCTGTTTACTGCCTACACTTTTGAGAGCACCAATTCGTAAGGTACGCAAAAACGGGCAACAAAAAACGTGCAACTTGTTTTGCAACACTGCTACAAAACGAGTTAAATAGCGATGTTGCGTCTTTTGCCACCCACATTACACCTGTCTTGCAACAAATCAGGTTGTAAACAGGTTTGGACGTGGGTGGTAAAATGTGCAACATCGCTATTCAGCTCATTTTGCAGCAAAGTTGCAAAACAAGTTGCACATTTTTTGTCGCCCGTTTTTTCGTTTAGAGCCTGAAATTTCTGCATTATTTCCTTTTATTACTGTTACCATATGTTTTAAAACACGGTTCAACTTCATTTTCACTTTGATTTCAAATCAAGTTTCCTTTAGTCACTACTATGTTACAAAACCAGATCAATGACGCATACCAAATATTTTTGAAGAAATTTCAACAGTAGAATATATCAGGGGATCAGTAAGCACTGCTGGTGTTTTTATTCAACTGTAGATTTACTTTTGAAATGCAACAAATAAAATACCACAAACTTTTTTTTTAGATTTTCAAATGAATAATTGTTCTTTTTTTCTTTCATGCATCACACAAATACAATTTGCATATTATTACTATTGGTAGCTTTTCGAATGTTTGTCACACTTGAACCTTGGTAAACCTTTATAAACAGATGCGATGATATAACCTATTCAGTTGGTGCTGTGAAGCTACACGAAAGACGGCTGTTTTTGCCTATGCTCTGGAACTTCGAGGAACTACTTTTAATAAGAGAAAGCCGACCTGCTACGAAGATCCAGTCGGGTAAGCTTAATCTTGCACTTGCTTAAATAAACTGGTTGGTTCCATATTCACACATATTCTAGTCGTCAAAACTAGTGCACACATTTCATATTTCAAGGCTAATGGTAAAATAAGGCACTATACTGAGATGTAAACATTTAACCACGTCCATGACATTTGCAACCTCTGTCTACTAAAGAAACATCCCAATTCAGTCGCATGTTAATGACGTACAATTAAGAAGTGTTGCACAAGTAAATAAAAGTTTCATTAAACATTATGGGTCGGTTGTTTAAGCGATGTCTAACTTAGGCCGCGGCTTAGCAAATCTTTGGACAGATCTCTTCCATAGTGGGTTATTTTAAGAAAATAAGTGTTTCTTCAGACAAGGCATGATGCTTTCATGAAACTTCTAATGATAAACAGTGTTGAGATAAAAGCGTTGAAAAAACTGAATGAATTGCTTAGAACGCAGTTTTAATAGGCATTGCCTAAACTCCGTTTAAATAACTGGCCTTATTTGTCAGTTACACTATTATGAATTAATAAAGTTCGTAACAATTTCTACATTTCGACTTTTTCTTGTTAATGCCTCGTTTATTTCAAACCTATTAAAATACTGCCTCATAAACAGGATATTCAGTGATGCGTACTGTGTACGTAGGTTCAGTCTTGTTGAATCACTAAAGCGTATGTGTGTCCCTTAAAAATCAAATAGCTTATAACTTTGCTTTAGCAAAGAAACGGATATAAAGGGCAAATTTCCTATTTGACTGATCTGCCAAAGGACAAAGTTGACTCTTCGGAAAAAAAAGGACAACCCAGAGGCAATCAGCAGAAAATTACAATGCATCTGTCCAAATGTGTTGTGACGTCATCACAGTTGCTGTCTACCACCAAATATTATTTTACTAGTTCATAATATTTCTTTACTGCGTACCCTTCTGTTCTCTGCATGTCTAGCAAAAGTAGTTATAGAGCTGTCTTCTTCGAGTATCACGCCATGAGTTTTATGATCTAAATAACCTATACGGCACCATCTTGACTATTTTTGGGAGTTAAATCAGTGTGTATGATAAGTCAAGCACAAACCCACATTCATTTAATTCTTCTTTGACTAATGTCCCTCGACGTAAAAGAATAATTCAAATACTTTCGGAGTTAAAGTTAAAAGAGCTCAGTTAAGCGATGCCGCGGAATTGTTCGTTGTACCCAAAATGAAGAGTGGGATAAATTTCGACGAAGACGAAAGAACATAATAAAAATAACGTTCTCTCTTTTTTGGTGGTTTTCAACTGTCATGCTCTCGAAAATTTAATCAAAACGATTGGATTCCTAAAACCAAGAATTTCAGAAATTAAAGAATATAAACGTCTCAGGCGTATGCGTTCCAAGATGTGCTCTCGACTTGCTGGACTAAAATTTTTCCGAAAAACAACGAAAGCTGCTCGACGGTAACCAGTTCAATCTCTAAAATCCGTTAACCACGAAGCCAAGGGTTCAGTTGCCAAGGGGCAAATCCCGTACCCGAACATAGTCTTTAATATGATTTTTCCTGTTTTTCTTACATTGCTACAGGGATGCTTTCTCTAATGCTAATGGCCACACTAGTGGCTTTGGTAAAGTGTTACAGTAATAGTACCTTGAAAGGGAGAGTCAGGTTACTAAGTTCTGTCTAGTATACGTATAAACTTAATTTTGTTGCCGGATATATTAGTCAATATTAAAAATTCAGCTCAGTTCTGCTACCGGATCTCGACGGTTACTTTTACTGTTAACTGTAAAAAAAAAACAACAACAACAACAATTTTCCCGGTCGATCGCAAAGTAAGATCGAAAAACTTCGTACGTCCCGTTTAATGTTACTTTCCCGAATCTCACACCCATAGCTAAACGCCTGAATCGTTTTTAACAAAAATATTTTGAAACTGAAAAAGGTAGGAAAAAAGGTTGGAAAAGGTAGTCAGTCCATCACGCTAAGATTTTTTTGTTGCTGATGATTTTGCTGAAGTAGTAGTGGTAGTGACAAGGGTAATATATTTTGGAATAGTGATATTGACAGCTTGTGCTAGTAGTAGTGTCATCATTGCTAATATTGATTGTAACTATGATTATTGTTGAAAACAGCTTAACGGATTGAAACGTAAAAGCGGTACACCCAAACTGGATCAGCGGGAACAAGCATCGCAGCTAAAAGATAAAGACTAACATCAACATGGCCTCCGTTCCTTTGCATCATCAGTGAAATGGAAGACAATCCTGGATTTAATGGTAATGTTAGCACTCTGAACTTAGCTTACACAACAGCAACAAGGAACATTAGCGTTTTGCAGTAAGGTTTAGTAGCACTCGAGCTAAACGCCAGGTAAAGCGGGCTCCTGGCTTGCCCAAACTTGTTTCTAGTACGAGGTTCCCGACTGGTGAGGGGAAGAACTATCACATAGGGCTATACAGGGTGGGATTTTCATGCAAGGCTATAAGGCTGAGATAGTGTAGGGAGGTTGGTGCCGAATTTAAAAAAAGAGGCAGAGACATAGTTTTCTGGGTGTCTGTTCTCCCCCGCCCCAGCCAGTCAAAAGTGGTAAGGGCAAATCAGATTTCTACGAAAAATGCAATGACAAATCAACAAAATGCGTTAGTTATGAGCCTATGTCAAGATCCCTTGATGAGAAAGTATTATAGGTCTTACTTTTTTTTCTAGACGCCATTCAGACAGGCGGACCAGCCACCTCCCGACAGGAGAACAATCTGCCTGTACCTCCAGCGAGAAGTGCGATGGCAAATTTGTATCCAAGATCACAGCAACCCGGACATCAGACAAATCCCGTTGTAAATGTAATTATATACTTACTATAACTGATTAACACTTACAAGTGAAAATCGAAAATGAACAGTTCTACTATTTTGGGCCGCTTTTATCAGGCTGTCCAAGGCACAAACCAAGAAGCAAGAATGAATTCAAAAACTGACCAACTGAGTCATTTACAATTATGCAGTTTCTTTAGCAGATAGATGAAAACATGTCTACCGAGTTCAAAGGGTACTGATCAGTTTTAGCGTTTTGTCCACCGCATCACAAGATCGTCCAAGACAAAAAAATACCGTTTAGTTCACAAAGATGATCCAGTCGAAGATCGAAGTTGAAACTGTCATCTCAAATGATCACTTTAGTTGTCCTTTCTCGTCTGAATTTGTGATACTTTTATTTAAGAAAGAACAGAGGTTATTACAACTACAAAACTCACATTAATGGAAAAAGCAATAGCTACCGTCTAATGGGGGAGCCCATAACCCTTCATCTCTTCATCTCAAAGTCCACTGTATTCACACAATGAACACTCGACGTTTTCCGCCATTGCTGAGAACTGTTTGAGACAGACGCAATTACTGTACTGCCGCGTAGCTGCGGGTGACGTAATACCGTAACTTTGCTCTGATTGGACGGCATAAAGCGTTTGTGTGAGTTTTAGGTTCTATTAAATTAAAAAAGACGCGAGCAAACGTTCTACACATTTTTAATAAGTTACATTTTTTTCTTCAGAGCATGGATCTTGATCAAGATTTGCCTCCTAATCATCTTATGCTGGCTCTGTTGAGTACCATATTTTGCACCTGTCCCTGTGGGCTGGTATCATTATGCTATGCAGTGCGGGTAAAAAGTTATATCTATTTTACTATACGGTATAATTTTTTTTTCCTGAGCACAACGTCAATAACACTGATTTAAATATTTTGGATAGGGGAATTTCCGCCATCTGCCCAGCAGACTAAACATTCCTTTTAATCCTGAATTTGCCGAGTAATAGGAAAATGAAGAAGGCAACTTATTAACTTTGAACTACGTAAGCATAAATTAATTATAAACGTCAGAATTTTTATGATTAATTACCGGCTTTCATCAGCCTGCGGACACAGGCGTATTTCTGGTCGTCGCTTCTCTTTCGGGTGGAGAGAAATACGTCTGTGTCTGCAGGCTAGGCTCAGAATCAGAATCAGAATCATGCATATCTCAGAGGCTATTATATCCGCCGAGGCCAAACACCTGAATGCTTTCCTAGAACTGCATAATTATCGTAATTCTTCAGATCATACGTACTCAGCCTCATTGCTATAATTATCCCTATGCTTAGCACCCAGTACCCGGTGTTTGGGAGGTCTCAGGTTCCAATCCGGCTGTCGGAGACTCATCGAAAGGGGTTAAGTCACGAGTATATTGCAGCTCAATGTCAATTCTGTACTGACTAGTCATTACTTAGTGCTGCCTCATTCATAAACATAATGCTCTTGTTGAGTCCGCAGTCACAAAGGTATAAGACTAACCACAATAATTTTTTGGCGATTTCTGTTTAGCCAAGCCGGAGAGAATCATTCTCTCTTGGGTTAGCATAGTGTTAAAACTAGAAATAGTTAGCCCAATGTTTAAATCCATGTCCATCTTCGTCAGCCGACAAGAGTTAGAGTTCAAAGCACGTATTATAGCTTGGTTAAAAGATAGCAAATGTCATTATAGAGCCCCTTTAACATCCTTCTCAATTTTTCCTTTCAGGTGAACTCTGACTTTGAACGGGGAAATACAGTTGGTGCTCAATACAATTCCAACCAAGCATGGAAATGGGGAATGGCGTCAATCAGTGTCGGCTGTTTGACCATCCTTGTGGTTATGGTTTACTACTTGATAGAGGTGGCTCTGCATGTAACTTTATAATCCTACCCTTCGAATTTTTGGAGGTCAAGAAACGTAGTCGAATTCAGCGGTTGAAAAAAGTGGAATTCGCTCGTCGTTTTGGATGAACATTTAATAATAAAATCAGGATAACACAACGTTTCTATATCATTTTGCTAACGTTTTTTTGAAGAAATACCCATATAAGTTATATTTATTTTTTAACTTAAAAAATTTAAATTATATCAAGATGACATCAGTCATTTACAGCTTGTTACTGATTTTTATCATTATTGCCCGAGTTTTGCAGAATCATTTCTTTCAATATTTTACTAAGACTCATTGATGAAACGTTCTCTTTGAAAATATACTTATTTTTTCCACGATTAGCTGGAGGCTATTTGGGTGAAATTTCCCGGCTCCAGAATTTTCAACAGATGGAGTCATGAAGAACACATTTGAATAACTGAGGCAACGCGTAAATAAGCTTAGCTTATGCTAACGTAGGGTAGCTTAGTTATGCTAACGAAAGACTTCAACTTAAAACGAACATTGAGTTGACATGTTGACAGGGTATGTGATAACACAGTCTGTGTACCCTGTACAGCCACCCCCACTGAGAGGCCACTGTACAAAGGCTTAAAAGATATATTTTATTGGATTTAACCCTTTAAACCCTAAGATCAAACTTTGAATTCTCATTTGTTGCCCGTATTCATTCCCACAGAAGTAGTGGGGACAAGCTGATAAAATATCAATGATCATGCATGTAATTCTCATGACCACTCTATTTTACAAAGCATTGATATTACAAGGAGAAATTTGATGCTGATCACTCTTACGGCTTAAAGGGTTAAGTATATTTATTTAGCTGTTAACTAAATGACGGGATGCATGACTATAATAAAGAATAATGTTTAGTTGACAGTTCGCCTTGCTCTCTTGCTCTTGGCCTAGAGATGCCTCTCAGCAAATATGGTGTTATAGAGCCCCATGGCAACCGTTCCACCTACAAGGCCAACCACAGCGCCATTCACAGCAGAGCCTCCTAGCAACAAGGACCCGCCTGCCCCACCTAAAGTGCCTAAAACAGAGGCTTGATCTACGCGGATCTGGTTTCGGTTATATCTGCGAGAAAATGACAAGAAACGGAATTGAGATATAGTACAGTCAGACAGACGGACAGACATACAGACAGACAAATTCACTTTATATGATTCTCAGTTCACTGAAATATAGGTATAACATGTACGTGGGTCTTACCTTAATCTGTATGCACGATCAATGTAGCCATCCTCGTTGATGCCTTCACCACTTGCGGCTCTGGCGTATGTCAGGACAGGACCTAGAGGAACACCAATTAGTGCACCATTTCGTCCGTAACGAATTGCTGTTTCAGTAAGAGCTGCTAGCGTGCGAGGGCCTGCTGCAAGGCGGACTGCAGGAGCGAATAAAACCATTCCTAAAACAGCTCCAGCCTGAATAGACTTGAAGGTAACATGAGCATAGAGTTCTGCAGCAGGGTGTTTTATATTCCCCATTTCATCATCTGACAGCTTTTGACCCAGTAAGTTACGGCACCAACAAAAGTTGCGGTTCATTTTGACCCAGTGTACTTCTGGTAAAAGTAAAACAATATAATAATAACGATAATACTCAATACTACAAAACTTTTACAACTAAGTTAAAAAAAATTCTCTCTCTGATTTTTGCCAATAACCTTACATACAGAGACGCCTTGCATGCTGTTTGTCTATTCTTTAGGCATGTTTGGGCAAACATTGATGACAATTGATTGCCATGGTAACGGTCTGACATCTCAAGTGGCATGATGTGTAAGACAATCCTTGTCCCCAGAGCCTCCCGTGGGGCCTGAGCACGAGGACCAGGAGGCTCTGGGGACACAGGATTTAAAGTCCTAGATTTTAGGACTTTCGGTCAGTTCTGAATTTCTACAACGTTTCTAATAGCCTACGTTCACTTGCTCTTGCAAAAGTGTCAATGACTGTAAATTTGGGTGATTTAAAGCTTTTAAAAGAGAATCCTCCAACTTACTTTTGAATCGGAAATGACCGGAAGTCCTGAAATCTTGGACTTTAAATCCTGTGTCCCCAGAATTGTCCCCAGAGCCTCCCGGTCCTCGTGCTCAGGCCCCCAGGAGGCCCTGGGGAAGAGAATGGTGTGTCCAAATCAATTCAATTCAATTCAATTCGTTATTCACACTATATAAGATATTTACATAAGTTGTTTTATACTCAGTCTCCTCACCCCCGCAGGGCTGGGGACAGTTTTCAGAGCAGCCTCTCTCCCTGTTTCAGAGCATTTGACAAATCGAGCTGTTAAAAGTCTACCCGTCTACAATTATACAGTCTGCAGATTCTGCATTTGTTGAACACCAGGCACTAAATACCGGTACAGGCCAAGTTTAGCTTTGATTTTTTTTCCGTAAATATTCCGTCTCGATTGGCTGCCTCTGGAACTCCGGGGATAAAGCAGGTAGAAATGTCACGCAATCCAATACATCGTGTACGTGCGGATTGAACATGCCAGTAGGAGCTTTTTAGCAACGACGACGGCGACGGAAGCGAGAACGTCAAAAAACCAATAGGTTTCGATTAGCAAAACAACAACTTTGCACCTGCATCCCGCTTTTTTGTACATTTCTTTGCCGTCACTGCACGACTACGGCGTGAAAATCCCTAATTGCCGGTCTTATGGAGGACGTTTAAAGCGACAACGAATTGTTCTTTCTCTTCTAAAACTTGAGTGTGGTCCCCAAGAAAGCAACTCTAGGGAAATTCGCCTACATTTGGCATTTTCAGGGAATTGGAATAAGCGAGGCAAAGTTTGAAAAACGCGAATTCATTTTAAAAGTGACGATTTCGCTGCCGTCGCTGTCGTCGATGCTAAAGCTCCCTAATGATGGTCAATGGACTGCGGCTGATTCACTCTTTCATGAAACATTGTAGTGACCATTTTTCATGGACTGAAGCTCAAAAAACGGTCGATATCAGAGTATACGTGATGATTTAAAACTTAATAATGAAATACTGTAGCAACACCTTTACATTCACCCTAACTAACATCAAATAATAAAAATAATTCAAATCCGCGATTTATTTATAGCAAGTACTATATAATAAACTAGAACCACTACGTGGAACTTACCGGGGCCCAGTGGGATACGGGATTGCATAGATATAGTTTACCTCTCGCACCCCTCCCCCCTCCTCTGTGGAGGCTAATACTTAGTCTGAATTAACTCATGCAGAAGAAAAGCAACAAAATGCATGAGAAAGGAGGATGTTGTTGTAAGTTTGTTCAGTGTTATTACAGCTAACGGTCTGTGTTATAGTAGTGTTTTTAGCAACACTGTGATGTCAATAAGTGTGATCTGTATAAGGTTTTCATTTGTTTTTAAGTTTGAGTGAAAAGGAAAAATCACTGACAGTTTTGGGTTGAATGGTAATGACAAAGTTTGCAAAGAAGTTTGTTACAGAATTATCACAATTTCACATTTTCTCAAGTACGTTATCATCAGGTTTATCATTGAGATTTATTAATCACATTTATCTATTTTTGCGAAAACACTGTGAATTTGAAATGATAACAGACATAAGACATTTTTGAAATAGATCTTTGTGGTCATGGATTGTTGTCTTGCACTGTAAAAAATGTCATCCAGTGTTATATACAGACATGATAAAATGCTTATTTATTGATGACTGAGTATCATTTGTTAATTCATTGCACATTGAAATGGAGGCACTTGATTGTAAGGCAGTGGTTGATACATAGTGGCATTCATCAATATGGTCTATAGTAATTATTGTAGAGGAAGTATTTCTTTCCTGAACTGGGTAAACAGTAGTATATCTGCAACTGCTTGAATGATAAGTGCATCAGCCCATGTACCTTGAATACACATATTATTCAGATATCTTATCCATGAATTTTCGGTATTGCTCTCAATAAATCTCTCAGGATTGTCTCTCATAAATTGAACCCCAGCAGTACGTATATGCATGTGATGGTTGCTTTTGCCATATAATTGATGTGATACAGATCTAAAGAAACAATCACCTGCACCGCCAACATCTATTGATTGTAAACAAAGTGCACCTAATCTTGACTGCATCAAATTCTCAGAGGAAATAGGAGAGTTCAACTGCATTGGTTGAGGTCACACTAGAGAAAGTTTACTATAGTAAACTCAAGTTTACCATAGTAAACGGCGCCGTAAGTGTGACCGGCATTTTTCAGTTTACAATGGTAAACTCTACCCTGGTTAATTTCCATGACTACCGCGGAAAGAACAAAGATGACCCATCACCGATAACCATCTGGTTACCAAAAAAAAATAGGTGGGTATATCTCTAGTCTATCTAAACTTTGTTTGTTTTGTTGACAGTTTGTCATGATTTTTGAGGAAAGTAGTTTCAAAAGGGTCACATAACAGAATAGCTTTAGAACATCGGTGATTGCTTTTTCCACAGTGCTTGAAGATTTCTGTTTCTGTACATTTCTTCAAACCATTCCTGGGGTCGAGGTTAAACCCACGCTTGCCTTCGCAATGCCGCTCTTTCTCTAAGAATACGTCTTCGATGAGTAATCAATAAACCTGTCACTAAAACATCTTCACTAACTTCGTATTCGAAACCAAGGTAGGTAATAAGGAGCGCATTCTTCTTGCTCGTCTGAGCAGCAGAATTAAAAGCAAAATGCTCACAACAGAAAACAATACTCTCTCACATTGAAGCATCTTTGTACACTTGTGAGGGTCACGCTCAGGAAGTTACAGTTCAGTAATTTCAATTTAGTCAGCTCTCATAGCAGGTCATCATTTGTTTTACTTTTCACTCTCACGTTACCGATCACGCGAGAAAAAACGCCTGGAAAGTTTCAAATGCCTTTTAAGTGGACCTGTCAGGTTTACTACGGTAAAGAAGACGTTGCGAGACTTACCATAGTAAAGCCCTTTTTACCATAGTAAAGTCTCTAGTGTGACCTCAACCAATGTTGAGCTGTGATTTTGCATAGAAGGTCTAATTATTACTTCATGATGATCAGTGTTGTATTGAGTAGGTCCTGGATTCTTCTCAACATCTTTACTTAGTTTGAAATTCACATAATTGGTCATATGACTCACACAATTGCAAGAAAACAATGATAAAGATCGACGTGCTTTACATTATTTTTAGTTTCATTATCCTGTGATAATGCCTGCTAAAGAAAGACAACAAATAAGCTTTCTTGGGTATAGCCATTTTATTTAAGTTAATTATCTTTGGATCGCGTTTGTTATTACATTTATATCGTGCATGATAAAGTTTTCTCACCTTATTAACATAGCGATGGAGCTTTGAAGTCTTCGGTATGTCAATCATTGAAATCTTTTGAAGACAAATTTTGATAAGTGTTCGCTTTGATTCTCGATAAATTTCACGATGGAAGGTTCACTCAATTTCTCGATAAGTTTCACGATGGAAGGTTCAGTCTCAGAAGTGATCGCTCGTAAATTTGTCTCTCCAAACATTCACTCTTAAATTTTCGCTCATAAACTAGTTGGGTTGGGGGAACGTGTCGTTCCCCAAAAAAGCTATAATCTTTCTCTTGACTGTCCTCCATGGCTCTTCTTTTCAAAATGGCGGATAAGATTTCAATGAGCCAGCGATATATCTCAGTCAGCGATATATCCCTAACAATGTAACGTTGAAACTAGAACCACTACGTGGAACTTACCGGGGCCCAGTGGGATACGGGATTGCATAGATATAGTTTACCTCTCGCACCCCTCCCCCCTCCTCTGTGGAGGCTAATACTTAGTCTGAATTAACTCATGCAGAAGAAAAGCAACAAAATGCATGAGAAAGGAGGATGTTGTTGTAAGTTTGTTCAGTGTTATTACAGCTAACGGTCTGTGTTATAGTAGTGTTTTTAGTAACACTGTGATGTCAATAAGTGTGATCTGTATAAGGTTTTCATTTGTTTTTAAGTTTGAGTGAAAAAGCAAAAATCACTGACAGTTTTGGGTTGAATGGTAATGACAAAGTTTGCAAAGAAGTTTGTTACAGAATTATCACAATTTCACATTTTCTCAAGTACGTTATCATCAGGTTTATCATTGAGATTTATTAATCACATTTATCTATTTTTTGCGAAAACACTGTGAATTTGAAATGATAACAGACATAAGACATTTTTGAAATAGATCTTTGTGGTCATGGATTGTTGTCTTGCACTGTAAAAAATGTCATCCAGTGTTATATGCAGACATAATAAAATGCTTATTTATTGATGACTGAGTATCATTTGTTAATTCATTGCACATTGAAATGGAGGCACTTGATTGTAAGGCAGTGGTTGATACATAGTGGCATTCATCAATATGGCCTATAGTAATTATTGTAGAGGAAGTATTTCTTTCCTGAACTGGGTAAACAGTAGTATATCTGCAACTGCTTGAATGATAAGTGCATCAGCCCATGTACCTTGAATACACATATTATTCAGATATCTTATCCATGAATTTTCGGTATTGCTCTCAATAAATCTCTCAGGATTGTCTCTCATAAATTGAACCCCAGCAGTACGTATATGCATGTGATGGTTGCTTTTGCCATATAATTGATGTGATACAGATCTAAAGAAACAATCACCTGCACCGCCAACATCTATTGATTGTAAACAAAGTGCACCTAATCTTGACTGCATCAAATTCTCAGAGGAAATAGGAGAGTTCAACTGCATTGGTTGAGGTCACACTAGAGAAAGTTGTAAACTCAAGTTTACCATAGTAAACGGCGCCGTAAGTGTGACCGGCATTTTTCAGTTTACAATGGTAAACTCTACCCTGGTTAATTTCCATGACTACCGCGGAAAGAAGAAAGATGACCCATCACCGATAACCATCTGGTTACCAAAAAAAATAGGTGGGTATATCTCTAGTCTATCTAAACTTTGTTTGTTTTGTTGACAGTTTGTCATGATTTTTGAGGAAAGTAGTTTCAAAAAGGGTCACATAACAGAATAGCTTTAGAACATCGGTGATTGCTTTTTCCACAGTGCTTGAAGGTTTCTGTTTCTGTACATTTCTTCAAACCATTCCTGGGGTCGAGGTTAAACCCACGCTTGCCTTCGCAATGCCGCTCTTTCTCTAAGAATACGTCTTCGATGAGTAATCAATAAACCTGTCACTAAAACATCTTCACTAACTTCGTATTCGAAACCAAGGTAGGTAATAAGGGAGCGCATTCTTCTTGCTCGTCTGAGCAGCAGAATTAAAAGCAAAATGCTCACAACAGAAAACAATACTCTCTCACATTGAAGCATCTTTGTACACTTGTGAGGGTCACGCTCAGGAAGTTACAGTTCAGTAATTTCAATTTAGTCAGCTCTCATAGCAGGTCATCATTTGTTTTACTTTTCACTCTCACGTTACCGATCACGCGAGAAAAAAAACGCCTGGAAAGTTTCAAATGCCTTTTTAAGTGGACCTGTCAGGTTTACTACGGTAAAGAAGACGTTGCGAGACTTACCATAGTAAAGCCCTTTTTACCATAGTAAAGTCTCTAGTGTGACCTCAACCAATGTTGAGCTGTGATTTTGCATAGAAGGTCTAATTATTACTTCATGACGATCAGTGTTGTATTGAGTAGGTCCTGGATTCTTCTCAACATCTTTACTTAGTTTGAAATTCACATAATTGGTCATATGACTCACACAATTGCAAGAAAACAATGATAAAGATCGACGTGCTTTACATTATTTTTAGTTTCATTATCCTGTGATAATGCCTGCTAAAGAAAGACAACAAATAAGCTTTCTTGCGTATAGCCATTTTATTTAAGTTAATTATCTTTGGATCGCGTTTGTTATTACATTTATATCGTGCATGATAAAGTTTTCTCACCTTATTAACATAGCGATGGAGCTTTGAAGTCTTCGGTATGTCAATCATTGAAATCTTTTTGAAGACAAATTTTGATAAGTGTTCGCTTTGATTCTCGATAAATTTCACGATGGAAGGTTCACTCAATTTCTCGATAAGTTTCACGATGGAAGGTTCAGTCTCAGAAGTGATCGCTCGTAAATTTGTCTCTCCAAATATTCACTCTTAAATTTTCGCTCATAAACTAGTTGGGTTGGGGGAACGTGTCGTTCCCCAAAAAAGCTATAATCTTTCTCTTGACTGTCCTCCATGCCTCTTCTTTTCAAAATGGCGGATAAGATTTCAATGAGCCAGCGATATATCTCAGTCAGCGATATATCCCTAACAATGTAACGTTGAAAAAACGGACGGTCTGCATTTTAAGACCGGTGCCAGCCTTCGGCTGGGCCCCGGTAAAAACGGACGGTCTGCATTTTAAGACCGGTGCCAGCCTTCGGCTGGGCCCCGGTAAAAAGCTGAAGAATAGGCGCTGGTCTTCATGCAAGTGGACTTTAGAAAGAAGCAGAAACAGTATTATTTAACTTTACAATTAAATTAACACTCCTCGTAATTTAAATGGAGAGTGAGCATAAAAGAACTCAGTTTTTTTATCGGATAAAAGGAGCTTTTTAAACATTAACCAAATTCAAGAGGCAAGATGTTTATTTATAGTAGGTCATATCTGTTCGAAAAAAGAAAGTAATTCAGAAGAAAATCAACTTCCAGTGGGCATGAAGCAGTTGCATTACGTTGATCATTGCTTACCTGGTAAGACTGCTACAACTACCAGCCACAATCGTACGTTGCACTGTGAGATGACGTGCAAATTTTACAAAGCATACAACATTTCATCATTTCGTGACAGTAGTGCTTAAAATTTGCGTGCTGTTGGTCATGTGAATGAAGTTCGACGTCAAGGAGTCACGCAATTTGAGGAGTTTAAAATGAATTGCAATAGCCTGTATAACAGACGTTTATGAGCCTAGCCAGGCGCACGCGGTATTTTGCGCAAAGAGCGAGACGAGCGCGAATCGCGAAACGAGGGAAGAAGAAAAAAATTTCGCAAAAATATTCTTTCCTTCTCCCCTCGTCTCGCGCTTCGCGCAAAATGCCGCGATTGCCTCGCTTGGCTAACAAAGCGCCTGTTATGCAGGCTAGAATAACAATGAACTGTAATACCAAAACAGCAAAGAAGACTTTATTCTTTACTGTTTTGTTAGTACAGTTCATTGGTCTTTGTTAAGACAGCAACATTTGGATACCGTCATAATTATCAAGGTCTCTAGAATAACAATACCCAAGCCAAAAAAACGAAAGCGGCGTGCATGGCGTAGATTCTAAGCTGGAAAAGCTTTAAGATCATTATTCATATTTTGTTATTGATTTATACTTTATCAATTTCCGAAAGAAGAAAAGGGAGGAGGTACAGGGTGTCAAGCGAATTAAAAAATAGGGTTCTTGAAAAAAAACTACTTTTAATAGACTTCTTAATTTTTTTTTTCGAGGCAATAGGGTGTATTATTTTATACAGTTATATATATAAATTTAAAGGTTTGAATATTGAATATTATCTATCATGTCGTTTCTGTCTATCTATAATGGTTCTACTCTGTAATTTTATAACTTTTCTTTATTGTCTAACTGATGATAATTCACTGATGAAATTTTAGCAGAGTTTTGACCAAAACGGCCACAATCGCCGGTGATTAAGCTGCATATTGGTTGGAGATGACGATTGCCCGATTTGTGACTCAGTTGGTATTAAAATATTTATGCGATAACCTGAGAAGTGTCATATCAACATATATGTCTTTCTGTGTCTATGGTCGAAAGCGGTACCTTAATTATGCTTTCTCATTACTTTCGGGTAACAATCCATCTCATCCGTTAAATGGCATGGAGTTTCTGACTTAACCGATAAAGGATTCGACCGTGTACCATTAGAAACAGCACACATTCCATTTAGTATACCGGTCCTGAGAGGCATCGCTTTCGCTTAGAAAGTATTTTTGGTCTGAAATGTTCGCTTTTATCAAAATAATGTTAGGACCATAACGGACACCACACGCGCGTCTTGAGACTGAGAGTGCTCGCTCATAGTGGCAGACTTGCTTGCTGAGACATTCTTCAAACTTTTTGGTGATGTAATGTATAGGGAACAGGCCTTCGACTGGCACACCACTGAAGACACATGTTCTCATAGAGGTCCTTTTTTTTTCTATTTCTGCTTTAGAACGCACATACTCAAACTAGAATCATCACGATACTGCGGGAACGAGGTGAAAAAATATTAAATAGAAAGAGACTCCGATGATTCCAAGCATTCCAAAGACAACTGCTGTTAGGCTCCAGTACTTGGCATGTTTGGACCGCCACACGGCACCCTCTCGGTTCCCATCATCGTATACTTTATCCACCTATAAGATATCATAAAAAGTGGTTCAGGTCCCTTTAGCTTAAAGAGGAGAGGCGTTAAAATGTAAAAATACAATTAACAACCCAGTTGAGTGGGAATAAGTACTGGTCAATTGCGCTCATTAAAACTTTCTTTGAGGCAAATTTTATTTTCCCCAAGTTACTATATACATTGCCTAGTTTCAAATCGAGAGGGGCTGGGTACGAGTCGGTTTATTGTGGGAATTAGCAACATTCTTAAGTTTGGTGTTTATCGGGCCTATATTGAACGAGATACAGCCATTCAAAAACTCCAAAATTCACTAAGAAATATACGGACGTCCGGACGATGTGTCCGGCAAGCCATACATCTCTTAGAAAATTTTGAAGTTTATGAATAGTTGCATTTTAATTTGTTCAATATTGGCCCGATCGACACCAAACTTCAGATTTTTCAGAACCTCAATGTGCTCTTTCTGACTATGTGGGTCTCGTGTTGTTTATCCCATAATAAACTGACTGGTACCCATGGGTGCCTCTCGATTTAAAACTAGGCCGGGAATACACGTGCAAATTGAATCATGCAATAAATAATTATTGGATGAGATTCTTGTGCTATCCTGAATAATCAAGGTCAAGGTAAATGTTATTGGTCGAGGCTGATAACTCTTACTGCGCGAGACGCTGATTATTCCGGATTGCACATAAACAGAATCTAAGCTAATCTAAATAAATGCTTTATTATGAATTGTGTTGAAGATACTCACGGACTCACGACAAACGTCATAGTCGCACGGAATACAGTTTTGCTTTACTCTTGAAAATCATGCATCGCGCGCGCAACCTACAAATTAGTCAGTTTTGTGCTAGCAGATAACTAGCTTATTTGTATGTTGCACTAATTTTCTGAGAGCAAAGCATAATAATACGAGCTATTTATGAAGAAAATTATCACATTGTGGCAAATTAATCTAACAGATCATTAATTCACCGCCTGCAGGTTATGAAGACGTCAGGTTGTCTCTTTTGCTTGCTTCTTTTTACCTTTTTTTCATTAAACGTTAAAAGGCTTACTTAGAAATTTTTTATTCTTGGTTCCTAGATCTATAATGTTCAAAGCAACCTTACATTGATTTTCAGTGAAAACTAGTAACATGACTGTGACAATTATTCCGATCTACTCGCATGGGAAATCTGCAAAACAAGGCTGCCAAGATAATGTTTGATGATCGCCATGAGGCAATCCTCCGCTTCCGATGCTCTTGATTCTCTTTGGCTAGAAGCCACTGCGTCTTAGGCGATGCTGTTGAACGGTTTTCAGTGTTGATTTTAATTTTCATTCTTGTTATAGGAACTACTACAATTCCAACCAGCGTTCTAGAGACCGAACTCACCTACCCCGTGTAAGAGCATTAACGGAGGCACACAACCTTTCATTTAGACAAAGCGTCGTAGATTGGAACTTCGACAGGATACATGTGACAGTTATCTATTTCCTTATTTTAAATCTAAAGTCAAAGATGAATCATTTGAATAGTGTTTTCTTGTGTATTTTTTAATCATTATTTTTAATCTAGTCTTGACTCTTTTATCCTGTGCAGTTTTTAATTAATTACGTCGAATGGAATCTGATTAGCATATATATAATACCTGGAGTGCACAGATGAAACCCACGATTCCTAGCGGAAAACAGCAACATATCATTGCTGTAATGGCCAAGCAAAGATGATTGTCTGGCTGCGGGATATAAGGTCGACGCTCATGATATGCTGAGTAGCGAGACTTTCTTCTTTCTTCGTCCTTAAAAAATAAGCAAAAGATAATCAATTATTTCCTATTAAAACAAAATACATTGCTTGAGTTTTCAAGAAGGCATGTTGCAGGTTTGAGAAGTGCGTGCGTATTGGGACAACTTTGTTGCAAGATCTTATGCAAAGAGCTATAACTTCAGTAAACTATAGAGGAGTCTGTCTGGAGACCAGCTTTCGGGAAAATTTTGGAAAGGTTTTAGTTGTCTGAGAAAACAGCTTATTTCCGATTGGTCATCGTTTTTTAAAGTCAGCATTAACCAATGGTATAATAGGTGCCCTAAAAAACAGATCTTAATCATCACAGTGCCAAAAGCTGTAGCCTTCGAGCAAGCTCTCCATTCGAGGGAGTCGCGAGAAGTCACGCGAGAGGTCGCTCGCTTGCGCGTTCTGAAGCAGCTCGGTTCGCTTGCCGTACTACTACCAGAGCTTGCTCGCCGACTGCGAAAGCTGGTGCCCATGCTCTCTGAAGCTCTGTACTGGCGAGTTTAGTCACTAACCTGAACTGACGGTATTACCGTCATGCGAACTTGGTATTCGTCGTCCGTTGGCCAGTTATCTATATCAAGCTCAACTGTTGATCCTGGCAAAGGGGTAACCTGGCCTTCCTCCTCGCCAACGTCATCCGCCTCTTCTACTGAAGGAGTTAGTGAGGGTGGTTTTTTGATCATTTGTGGTGCGGTGAGATTGCTGTGTTTCACCTCTCCATTATGCAAAACTGAACAAAAAATACATTTGAGGTAAAAGAGTACATCCAGCTTGGATAAAACGTGTGCTAATGGTAATTGTAATTTCTTTTGGTAAAGTTATCACATAAACATATACATTTTCTTTGTTTTTAAAGTTTAGGCAAAATTTCAACATCAGCCCGCAGGTAGCTACGGTAATCTTGACGGGTCATGTTTTCAGAAAATGAATACGACAGCGTATAAAGTATTAAATATACAAGCCCCTATAGAAAAGCGGAATAGTTATTAAAAACTAGGATACAACGTTAGATATGTATGTATTCATGGTTATGCGTTTGCGAAATAGCTTTTTAAATAGATATCCATAAAGGAGTGCCGGTAGGTGCAAAGTAGATTTGATTCGAATTGAATTGTTCTCTCACCTTCGTTCGGTTCCATTCTCTTCGTTCCGTGATCATGAGCTTGAAGCAATTCTCAGCTAGTTCAGGAGAAGAGTGAAAGACTAAAGCAAAAACATCAACCCACAAAAATAACGTTAATTATCAAAAGAAACATATATAACACACACGGTATATAAAATGTAAAAAATAAGAATCAGCTTTGGGGGCTAGCCGTTAATTATAAAAAATGTATGGTTAACTACTTGAAAAAATAGACTTTCTCCTTTATTAATGGTAGTGCATGAACTGGTCCATGACACATTTCGACAGTTTTTGAAATACTCCTAACAATCATGTTAAAAGTTATTAATCGATTAATCAATATGCAAACATGCGCTGCAGATAAAGAGGTAACGTCGTTTGCTCCTCTTTCACCTTATAGCTCTTCCACATAACACACAAAGAAAAATCTCGATCATTGAAATTCTATTTCGTTGCTTCGACTGAAACCTGAAAATCTCAATTCTTGTATTTTCACTTCGTGTCGCTGGGACTACCTTAACCAGTTGATCTGGCATCTCCTTTAATGAATTGAATATAGGGTTATTCGCCGTCATTTTAATAATATTGATGGGTTTTTGATAGCAAATTCAAAAGCTTAATCAGTTTGATGAGTATTATATAATTTATGCCATTGCACAAAGTGTAATAAAACTGCCAGATGAAAAAACCTAATGGATAGACAATCAGGTGGTGTCCAGTTGAAAAACTAACTTAAAGCTTCAGTCAGAGTTGATCATTTTCTGTTCACCTTCATGACCTGTGAGTTTTCTTGAAAAAAAGTGTATCAGTACTGAGCATCCAATTCTGTCTCCATGGTAACGCCTCAAGTTAAACATCCTAAGGAGTTTTTAACCTAGCATGCCACACTTTATCCTCTCTTGCCTAGCACCAATGCCCGGTCATAAAGTTATCAGTAAAAAGTAAGAAGCGTGGCACATAGGTAATTTTGCTAGAACTCTGGGTTCCGTATTAGCCTGCGTAACAGGCTCCGGGTGTTTTCGGCTAAGGATGAAATCGTTCCCCTCGCGCTTCCGAGGGGTTCCAAGTACGTCTAATTAAAGCCCGTTACTCTGGCAACAGCAATGAACTTTTAAAAACAACAAGGTTCATTGTTTGACGTTTTGTCCTTCAGAGCAGAAGGCGAGTATTGAGTTTTACACGCTCAGTTAACTATCAGGTCGATATCACTAATTATTTTTTAAGCCCGAAATGTAAACATCGCTGTTGAAAGAAAAATGAATTCCATTGAAGTTAACTTGAAAATAAATACTGCACACCACGCTATTCTGAATTCGCGCGATGGAAAATGACATTCGGATTTAAAAGGAAAAAAAAACAGCAAGGAACTCCTACTCAAGCGGAAAAAAAATTCAAATTCTGGGCTGCTTTTAACTTGTTTGAATTATTAGTCAGTTTGGCGTCTGTGCCACTTGTCTTTCGCTTTTTGTTTGCAAATATTTTTCATCTTTCTTTTCTGAAATATTGTCAAGATCTGCGAGCTAAATGGCACATTGATGACTTATGGCGAATCGCTGCACGTTTTCTAGAAAACCTGACCACTACTAAGCTGTAGTCTACTTTGAATGACTGATCTGGTAACTGCCCAATCTGCTGTCTGTGTTATATTTATTTTCCTTGTACACATATAGCAATCGCGACCTTGTAACTACCCCGTATGGAAACTAGACGAAAACTGAACTGCTATGATACTCGACGCCCGGGTCCCAATAACTTGTTCCGTAGTGTGGCAATATTCCTTTAAATCTAAGAGACAGGTTTTACAGGCCGTTAGACTTTTTAGGTCAAATTTTAGACCCAACTGACGATACCTTTGGCGTGACTACTCAAAAAACCTGTCTGCATGACACGTTTCATTTCTCAGCAGTACTTCTGACACAAAACTTGATGATGTTCTTGAAATGATATATATGGCACTCTCAGCGTTTAGCGTACAACATGTCTGAGATCATATCAGGAATAAGAACTGAAGTGTTCGCGTGACTAAGAGCGAGAAATGTAACGCTGCTGTTAAAACCTACAAACAAGAACAGAAATGTTGAACTAAGTCGACAAGTACCTTCTGTTCATTTGTGGGTCTCTTCTGCTGACGAATGGTAATGAAAAACTTAGCATTTTCCTGTCTTCAACAAATTTTCCTCTGCCGGACAATGAAAAACTCTCCTTGTAAGAGTCTTATTAGTCAACCGTGTGCTGACTGGCGTCGTTCAAGTAATCAAATGCTAATTATTACATGCAAGAGTTGAGTGTAATTACCAGCCTGTGACGTAGAACGAGCAATATTAGCCCCACTTAACTCCCGGTAGTAATAAAGTCATTGTGAAATACGTGCTTTCTTTTCTTGAACGACAGAGTGTATGTCATACTAATGGCTATTTGAAATTCCGGTTGCAAAGTTTACACCAAAGATTGTCAAGTGTGAGTTAAGATCAACAGAGAAAAAAAGTCCACCTGTCAACAGCGACAAACAAACAATGATGAATTTTTAAAATCATTTTACTGAGAAAAGTTATCAACCAATTTTTTAGCCGTGTACGTGCCGTTCTGACGCGCAACAGCAGCTGCTTTGTAAAAGAAGCTAAATATTTTAAACTTTTAACTAATCACCAGGCTCCAGTTGTTCAAAAGGTAGATAACCGGCTATCCGCTGGATAAATCTGTATCCTTTGGTTAGTAATTGGTTCCCCTAATACTTATCCACTGAACAGGGAATTATCCGATGGATAGCGCTTAATCCAACGTTCGATGCCCAGGCCCCAGTTGTTCAAAAAGGTGAAGATTATAACGCTATCCACCTGATAAATCACTAACCTCAGGGCTATTTTTCAGATTTCTATAACCGTACTTAATGTATTTTTCTTTTCGTTTCCGGCCTGTCGAGCAAAATTAGTACAAATTTAAATCCGGAATCCGGAATCCTGGGCTTTGGAATCCGAAATACAGCTCAAGGAATCCGGAATCCCATTAACGATTGGAATCCGGAATCCAAGTTTCACTGAAAAACATTTGGAATCCAGTACCTGGAATCCGGAATCCACTGCGGGGAATTTAGAATCCAAGACTGTCTTGGATTCCCTTACACTGAGGCGACTGAGGAGCCAACAAAAAGCTTCCCATGACCAATCACGCGCATTGAAAAATCTCTCCATGGAACATAAGTAAGAGGATACAACATTGTGTGTCATTGTAGCTTTACTTTGATCTTGTACTTGCAATAAATTCACATGTCATGTAAATGGCTGTATCAGTTAACAAATATACATCTCTATTAGGTCCGCATAGGCCTGGGTATACAGCTATTTCGAGAAAGGTTGTCGGAAAAAGTGCACGCGACAATCCCGAAAGGTATTGTGGGTGGTTTTGAGTTCACTCTCCTACAAAGAAATTTGAAAGAATGGCACGGGAGGCCACGGACGTATGTTTGCAAGTGCTAAAGGAAAGCAAAGAAAGTAGGTTCGACAGCTACAGTCGTTAAGTACGGTGTAATGATTATATCCCATATTACCTTTCGGGATTGTTGCGTGCACTTTTTTGGCGTCAACCTTTCTCCAAATAGCTGTATACATAAACATGGAATTGTTACTAAAAATATACTGATAAAGCTGTCGTCAGTTTTGACTTTCGATTTAAGTGACTTTGTATTCATTTGTGGTAATACCAGGGTAGGTTACATTCATGAGCTGTTCCAAGTGTCCCGTATTTGTATTGCTTTAGGCAGTTCCCTCCTGATAAGCCAAATTTATCTGCCCGACTGTCATAGTACTTGTCCATGACTCCTTTGCGCCACTGCGGCTTATAACTGTTGATAAATAACAATCAGTTTATAAAGTGTTTACTTTAGTCAGTCAAGAAGCAACACTCTACTTGAATATAGTGTACGAAAGGACGCAATTTGACTTCAGATTAGAAAGTTGATAGGTTCATGCCAATTTCCTCACTTTATCCTACTTACAAGATGACTTAGGGTAGATCAATTTGCCACCAACTTTCGTATAAGTTGGAAGAATAGGAACAGTAGCAATGTATTGTACGACAGGAACATGCCAGCTGGTAACATGCGAGGCGTTCTCCTCGCGATCTCTGTAAAAAAATAGCAACCGGCGCTTGCTACGCAGGCTATACGTCAGTTGATGGTATTAAACTCTGGTTATTGACCTGATTGGACAATTGACCACTCCAGAAAATACCATGATAGCGTACCATAATACCCTTCGTTGCTTACTTCAAAATTTCGCATAAGCATTGTTTTCAGTTTCTCCTGGGGCCATTTTAACTCCCAAGAGAAACTGAAGACATTGCTTATGCAAAATTTTGGAGTGACCAACAAAGAGTACTATGGTATGTTATGGTATTTTCTGGAGTGGTCAATTAAATAAGTCGCGATGTTAATGGTCGTCTGTCACTTAAGACGTAATGTTATTGGCTATGAAGACCCTAAATGTCATTGGTGCGTTTCAATCCGCCTCTTTAGCAGTTGTTTTAATTGTTAGTCATATTGTCGGTTTTTTTGTCCAGTCAATTTTGAATTGATAACTAGGGGATAAAACGAGATTGACATCTCATCAAAGCTTGAAATTTATTATCATCATGAACCTGAGATTTCACTGATACATTCTCTCGCCTGTTAGAACTTATTTACCAAGCAAAACGTAAAACCTGCATCTGAGATCACATTACCAGAATCATGACCATTTCTTATTGCTTTAACTGTCTTTCCCACTGATAGGTTAAGATGTATAAAATGACAACTGCTGCAACTGCCAACCGGTAAAAATGTTGACAAAATGTGGGCTAAAAGAGGAAAAATTAACCAATTCATTTTGATTGAAATCACTGAAGAACGCTCGTCTTACAATTTAATTAAACACGCTCTATTTTGAGTTTTTTTACTATTTCAAGGTTATTAAGTAAGATTGTTGACCGTTGCTGTTGTTTTTAGTCCTTGTTGTTGTTGTTGTTGTTGTTGTTTTGATTTTTTTCCTCATAATTTTTTTACCCTTGAGATTAGTCTGCCGTCTACGGTGTTTTTCCAAATTTTTTCAACCATTTTGCAGATTCAGATCTGACTTGCTCAAAAGTCATGTTGATTATCACTCAGTGTCAGTCAAAATTCTGACCTTCAACACCCTCGAGCCGGGCCTCGACTGCGACCAGCAGCATCCCGCCGTTAGAATTAAAGCTGCGGGGGTTTACGTTTCTTCTCGGAATGTCTTGGCCCTGACCAAAAACTTGCCATTATACACCTTATACATTATAGACCTCCGCCTAGTCCCGCTTTCAGACCCGGCCTGCATAAAGTCCATTCCTATTTTCAGATCTGCCTCATCCCAGAGAGGTCAAAGTAACATATTGTTTAAGCATTTTTATCACTGTTTTTATGGTCAGTAGTTCATTAATGACCCCATGAAATGTCCTGAAAGCACAGTGCCATGTTGTGGCAAATGTAGCTGTACGTACAGAAGTATGACCCCATGAAATGTCCTGACAGCCCAGTCCCATGTAAGTCGTAGGTACAGAAGTGTAGTATTTGTAGTAGCTGTAATAGCTGTAGTAAGTGTAGTAGCTGTTAGTAGTAGCTGTAGTAAGTGTGGTTGCTGTAGTAGCTGTAGTAAGAGCTGTGGTAGCTGTAGAAAGTGTGGTAGCTGTAGTAAGTGTAGTAGCTATAGTAACTATAGCAGCTGAATATATAGCTGTAGTGGCTATAGTAAGTGTAGTGGCTGTAGTAGCTGTAGCTAGTAAGTGTAGTAGAAAATTAAGCGATTTATTACTTGCTCTACTTACTACACTTACTACAGTTTCTACACTTTCTGCAGCTGCTGTATTTTCTACTGACAGCTATAGCTTCTACACTCACTACAGCTACTACAGCTACTACACTTATTACACTTACGACAGCTACTACACTTACTACAGCTACTACAGCTACTACAACCCGAATGAGGTTCCAACTAGTGACCCGAAGGAAATAAGCAATATTCTTAACAAATATTTCGCCACTGTTGGGAGCAAACTGGCTTCTAAAATTCCTCAGACCATAAATACATTCTATGATTATTTAGATCCGCCACTTAATCGCACTTTCTTCTTTGATCCTATTATTCCGGAAGATATCAATTTAGAAATTTCAGTTTTGCAAGACAACAAGGCCCATGGTCTCTACTCATCTCCAGTTAGGCTGCTGAAATTAGCAAAAAGGGTCATATCCGTACCTCTAGCCACGATTTTTAATCAGTCTATTTGCTCAGGGATTTTTCCATCTAAACTAAAGTGTGCTAAGATTATCCCGATATTTAAGGACGAAGATGACACGCTGCCCGAAAACTACCGACCTATTTCTCTGCTCTCGATTTATAACAGGATTTTTGAAAAACTTATGTACTCCAGAGTTACCAAGTTTGTCAAAGATTGCAACATTCTCTATGATCAGCAATACGGTTTTCGCAGTAAGCACAGTACTCAGCATGCTGTACTTGATATTGTTAACACAATTCTCCAAAACATGGACAACGGTAAATTTTCGTGCGGTGTTTTCATCGATCTCAAAAAGGCTTTTGATACTGTTAACCATGAAATTTTGTTAGCTAAACTTGAAAATTATGGTATTAGAGGTGTAATAAACTCCTGGTTCAGATCATACCTGACTGATCGGAAGCAAACTACGGAAGTTAATAATGTTGTGTCTGAGGCTGAAACGACCTTGTGCGGCGTGCCACAAGGCTCAGTCCTCGGACCACTCTTATTCCTACTGTACATCAATGATATTTACAAGTCCTCTTCGTTATTTGCCTTTTATCTATTTGCTGACGATACTAGTATAATACTTGCAAATAACAACCTAAAGGAACTCGAAACACTTGTTAATCGCGAGCTTGGCAACGTCAACGAATGGCTAAAGGCCAACAAACTGTCCTTGAACATAAAAAAATCAAATTTTGTAATCTTTCGTCCCCGGCAAAAGAATATGCCCTTCATACCTAGGATTAGAATTTTTGACTCCGTGACTAACACCTACGCAAACCTTGAAATGAAAGATTATGTAAAATATCTTGGCTTAATGATTGATTCAAATCTTTCATGGAAATACCACATCGAATCTGTCTGTCACAAAATCAGCAAGTCGATAGGAATTATAGCTAAAATTCGACATTATGTCCCGCGTCGTGTTTTACTTTCAGTTTACAACTTATTAATTGTCCCTTACTTGACTTATGGTATTTGTGGTTGGGGAAATTGTGCCTTGACATTTCAACGAAAGATCGTAACTCTACAAAAACGGGCCTTACGTCTGATTTACTTCAGTAAGTCTAAGGAACACGCCGTACCCTTCTTTCTCAAATCAAATTGCCTTCCCCTGCCTAGCATATTTTTCAGAGATTGTAGCTATTTATTGTATGATATCAACAGACAGACAGCACCAGTTAGTATTCTCAATCAGTTCGTTAAAACAAGTCAGATTCATAACTACAGAACAAGATCTGTCTCTAGCGACTCGTTTTATGTTAAGTTCTCTAGAACCGATAAAATGTATGCCTTTTTCACGAGAATCGGTGCCCAAATTTGGAACTCTATTCCGTATTCGATTAAAATACTTAAACGTTCGTCCTTTCGTAAAAAAATAAAGGAATTATTACTAAATTTTTGGCGGTCAGAAGATGATTATGTCGAAGTCTCCCGTCTTATTAAGTTATTTAATACTTTAGGTTAACCTCTCTTCGTAATCGTTATGTACATGCCTTGTTTTATGTTAGTTTAAACTCTATTTACTGTATTGTAGTGTCTTCACTGTTATTTAGTCCATCTATATATAATTCTTGTTTTGTAATATGTCTTCAGCTCCCCCCGCCTCGATTAGTGCATAAGCTATTTGCGGGTGGGAAAGTAATGTAATTAGTTATTTTCCAATTTTCAATAAAATTTGTTTTTTTTGTTTTGTTTTTTTTGTTTTTGTACAGCTACTACATTTACTACAGCTACTACAGCTACACTACAGCTACCATACTTACTACATTGACTACACTACACTTCTGTACCTATGACGTACATGGCACTGGGCTGTTAGGACATTTCATGGGGTCATACATGAACTACTGACCCGTTTTTATCGTTGCGTTATTTATTTGAGTATTTGGATCTTGACACTAGCCAAAAAACATAGTTTCCGATACAAATACGTTTCCTCCCATCTTCTGGATCGGAGTTAAAGCGCAGAATGCTTACAAAATGAAGATTCTATCTGTTCTCGCCTCAGTTTACTTTCTTCTGTGCATCATTTCAGTTGGTAAGTTGTTATCAAGCATGCTTGGACAATAATTGACACGATCTGTTGTGTCTTGTGTTAATGATTTACTTCATTGCTCTGTTTGTTGTTCGTAAAGAAAGTCGGGATCGATGAGATCTAATGCGTCCACTCACTTTCACATATTTTAGAGCCTTTTCTCGCATGCATCAGACAAACGCTATTTCGACCTACGTTTTGGCTTAACTGCAGAATACCCAGTCACTTTAAAGCAAACCCAAAAGATAAGTGGATACGCGGATACGCGGATACTCAGTCACTGCGTATCCGCGTATCCACTTTGTCAACACGTGTCGGCAGGACTTCCACATTTTTTCCTTTCCATAATTTAACTCTCTCTTCTCTCTATTTGCGCGAATTCTTGTTTGGAAGGTATGTTTTCGTCAGTTCTTAGGAGAACGAAAATTATCGAACTGTTATTCATTGCGAGAAGCAAAGGTCGGGTTTTTAACATTTTTGTCACGCTAGCCAGAGCATGTCTTAGAGCTACGTCCATAGGTATCTGGTCCATAGGATCATATCTCAATACTACATGCATATTTTTAATCGAAAAGAAACAGTTATTGGTCGAGAAGAAATGGAAGAATGCGCGAAATAATTTTCCTTTCTAAATTTCCCGGCGAAGTCAATCGCACGTTTGGTAATCGAACCCAATCGAACTCCAATCGTTCGATTGACTTCGATCGGGTTCGGTAATCGAATATAATCAAACTCACCCTAACCTTTTGCCAATCGAGCACAATCGAATGATCGGAAATCGAACACTTTTTAAACCAATCGAACATAATCGAACGTTCGAAAATCAAACGTACGTACACAGACTACATAAAACTAGCCTGCGTCGCAGACATTCTAAGGGGCTGTCTGCACTTGGTGCTCGGGAACCTGAGGAACGGGTGCCTGGGTACCGGCACAAAATGATGCTGTGTTCACACTGAGTACCCAATATGTGACTGTGTACATAGTTACTCCATTTCGTCCTGACAGCCTCCGTTTTTAAACATGAGCTTAGCTCCGAGAGCAAAGAAGTGGACTGCCACAGAACTAACAAATTAATTGAAAACGGTTTACACGCAGGGACCCAGTGTCCACTTTTGTGCCTGAGTACAAGGTCGATACCTTGTACTCAGGCACGGCCCGGCACCGCAATTGTCCCTTTCGTAAACGGTAGCTGCCATTTTTATGACACTTAGTTAAATTTTTGACCTGTTATTGAGAGTGTTTCTTCAAAAAAGAAAGAAAACAGAATTCATGAATGGTATAGACGATGCGTGGGGCCCCCGGGGGGGTTACTTGAGTACGTTTTTGCTGGGTATGTGCCGCTAGTCTGTCATTATCGTCTCCCATTATAGTCAACTCTGTGGTCAATTATAGACCCCATATTCGTCACTCTTGGGCAAATGTAATTTCATATTTAGTCAGTTTCTGTTTATGCATTTACCTTATAAAGCCTTTTATCAAGGTCATCCTGAAAGGAGCTAGCAGATTTGTTGCATTTAATTTAGTAAAAATCCTCACGGTTTGAAGTCCCTAATTACCGCAATATTCTTACCGCTAAAATCCCGAAAATGTGAGACCCCCCATTCTAGTAACTCTAGGTCATCCTGAAAGGAGCTAGCAGACCCCCCATTCTAGTAACTCTAGGTCATCCTGAAAGGAGCTAGCAGATTTGTTGCATTTATTGAAACCCCTTTCTTAGTCAATCCAGTCGTAAAAATGCGACCCCATCCAGCGGCACATCCCCATTACCCTATAATTGGGAAGTACCCCCCAAAACCTACCCCCTACAAAACTATGAACAGTGAAATGATTATAAAACAATAAGTTCAAATCTTCAGGAAAAACTAGTGAAAAGAAAAGCTATGATAATGATAATAAAGGATAGGTTCCTTATTTCAAGAGAAAAAATCTATTTGGGGGAGAAATTTTAAATTTTCAGTATTGTTTATACTTTTATGAGTTTTTTCTTTTAGTTTTGTGTTTAACATCCCGCGGTCAGTGTTTGTGCTTGGAGTATGTGAAATTTTGTAGCTCTCTTATGGACATTATGGATGTTCGTTGGCACGTCACATGTGTGGTGAATTGCAGTTGGCAAGTTTGTTATAGGCAAGCGTACTTAAGAACACACAAAATTTCGGCTAAAAAGAGGGGCCCTTCTTGGAACTGGAGGGCGCTTAATCAAGAACGGCACCTTTTCTTTTTCTTCCAACGACCTGTAATTTTATTTTAGCTAAATCTTTTAAAAATATAAATACAAAAGCAAGTACTACAACAATATCAATGTAAACGTTAAGTGTCAACTATTTGGGGTAAAATGTCTTTCGTTCATTATAACAGTTGTTGGTAATCAAGCGTACTGTAGTCTCATTATTCACTTTGCAGTAATGTATCGGAAGGCACGTTTATAAATGTCGATTATCTCATCATCTTCGAGATCATCCTCGTCAGTGGTATGAAGATCATTGCATTCCTCTTGTATCCCAACTATTCGACTACTATTTAAGAAAGTAATGGGGAGGGGGCGCTTATTCGAGAGCAACGCTTGTTTGATGTTATGGCCCATGGGAGAGCGCTTATTCTAGAGAGGGCGCTTATTTGAGCGTGGGCGCTTATTCGAGAAAATACGGAGACTAAAAATCTTAATGAGTCTCCTTTAGTTGTTCTTCAGTGGTTCCGTGACATGACGAGAGGTAGCATAGCCTGTTCCAGGCTCTGAGATAGTGGGGAAGACGCCAAAGAAAAAGGCACGTGAAAGGTTGGCGTAGCGGGAAAAAGGAACAAGGAAAGGAGAGAGAGCCTGTAATCATTTCTTTAGCGACCCTCTTCCCCGGGGGGGTGGGGGGGTACTCCCATACATTACCTATACGGGTACGTGCCGCCCAAAGGGGTCGTGATTTTGAAGCTCCTGATTTAGAACGGGGTATCCATTTCAGAGGCGTTTTCTAGAACCGGGTATAATATTTCGAACGCACGAAAGCTCCAGTTTTGTGAGCAGCCATTTGAAAGTATTCAAGGACAGATTGCTTTTAAGAACACGGTTCAATGCGTTAACAAGCAAACTGTTGTACTCTTGTCACCCTAGAACGGAGTATAAAAAATTGGCCCATTTCTAGAACGGGGTATCAATTTTAGGGGAAATTTTTTCTAGTACGGGGTGCCAATTTGGAGTCCCGGGCGGCACATACACACCCTAAAAATACCAAAGTGCCACCCCCCCGGCCCTCTTCCGCCCACTTTTGGCACGTTTGAGATACGATGATTAGATTTCGGCTGTCAAACTGTTGAAATGTCAATGAGTTGAAATCTTTCTCAAATTTCTCGCGAGATTATTTCTCGCGGCGCTAATCATGGATCATAGATAACTGAAAGCGATTTTTTTTGTCCGTTTATACGCGGCTCCTTTGCAGCTCCTACCCATCTGCTGCTGAACGCCAATATTGGAGAGATTTAAAGCCACCTTTATGAGCAGTCGAAATAAAAAATTGTTCAAAATAAATCTGGATGAATTTACATAAAACAAATTATTACCCTGTTGAAATAATGAACAGGATCATCTCGGGATGAAAAAGTTATTCTTCTGAAAAATTTTAACATTTGATGGATGATAATCATAAAATATTTCACTTCTCATTTTATTTTACACATAGAAATGTCAACAGTTAATTTCAAAATAATCTTCGTGAAAAAGCAAAAGCGCGAAATTGTGTGCGTAGCTGTTTACGCCTGCAGTCGGCAAACTTGTCAGGCAAGTGCAGGAGAATATTCTTCCCCCTTTAAAGATTGTAAGTTTGTTGTGAAATTTTTCTCCTCAGTGGCACCATAATAAAAGATCTGATTAGAAGTTGGAATTTTTCGCTATTTCTGTTTAACTTGAGCGCAGATCAAACAAATGGAGACTTTTTGCGGTATACTGAGTGCAAATTTCAACTGTAAGTACTTTTCTATATATGTTGTAGTTAATTTTTTATCTCAGGTAGTTTTAGTTTTCCTTTTGTTTTTGGGTATGGTAATGTATGCTAATGATGTTTAAACAAAGGAAAAAATAAAAATTACCTGAAATGAAAAATTAACTACAACATATATACGCGTGAGTTACTTCAGATGTCTCCTCGGGATAAAAAAAAGCGCCTTCTCGGGGCGAAATCCCTGCGGGAGCAATTACAACTTCTCGAACAAATGAACATGTTAGCATGTCAGCTGTTCTGTATATAGTGTAAAGCCTGAATTGTTTACATTTATGGGATATTTGTTATTTCTTGTATGGACAAACACCAGTTTAACCATCATATTCAGAATTCTAAGTAGAGTCATTGAGCCGTCTCTTGGCCGTAATTTCACTTTTTCCCACCAAAACTCAAACAGACTAACTTTTGACGTAGCACTGTGTTTTGCTTTGTTTTGCAGGATACAGCCGCAAATACTGCGAATACTGTTCGTCAACAAGGCGCGCGCGTGTAGATTGTGACAGGAAGGAAAAAGAGTATATAGTCTGTGACGATACCCAAGTCTGCGGGAGAGTTGACGCCTGGGTAAACGGGGGTGGTTGTACGGAATTCTTTATTAAAAAAGGATGTTTCGACAAATCTTTGTGCAACAAAAGCTATTGCAGAAGGTTATCTGTGGCAGCCATCTACTTTTGTCACGTCAGGTGCGACCTTAGTAGTGAGCTGTACGATGAAGTCATAGCAAGAATAGTCAGCGCCTTCCATCTCTTTCAGTTTTTCTGCTTGATGTATGCATACTACAATTATGGCTGTCACCCTTTGAGCTCTCCGCACTTTTTTCTGTCTTTTGCTTCTGTTTTCGTGTCTTTCTTGCTATTTTATAGCAAGTGCTATTACTACTTGGAAGAAGCATCTGAAGCAGGGTTACATTGAAAGACATTACTCGGCTGGTATGCTGGTGTATCAGTTGACGTCACTAAAGATTCAAACTACAAAACTGTCGATCCTATCGAGATTTTACTTTTACGATGTATTAGAGCGGCTGAAAACTAATTTTCATGCAAATTTTCGCTTCAAAAGGGTCCTTGGTTTTGTGATAGAGTACGCTTGAATTTCTAAGCTTTATCGTGACGCGCCATTTACATGACGGCCAAGAGAGTTGTCATGTAGGTTAAAAAAAAATGACTTACTGCTATCTAAACAGTATATGTATTAGAATAAGTATTACTTTGTATTGTATTTTCTATTTTATTTTTACTCCATCCTATAGATAATACATTAGTTGTATAATATCAATTAGTACAAGGTTGATTAAACTACGTGTACATAATAAAGAAAAGAAAGTTAGAATCTTAAGAAGGGCACATTATAGAAAACTAATTATGGCCCTTTAACAGGATTGACTTTATTCTAATGTAGCTTTGTTATTCATTAAAACACAAACACGCACGCACGCACGCACCCACACAAGCATAATGTTACTTCAATGTTAATAAGTTCATCGAAGAATAAATTCACAATTTTGTAGCAAAACTCGGCAACAGATGTTTCTGTTAGTTTCCGTCCGCCATGTTGGTGCTCATCCGGATGAGCACCAACATGACGTCTCCATATAAATCTCTATAAGTTTGGGTAAAACATTTCTTTGGATATCTCGAATACGAAATATTCCTCTGACCTGAATCTTGACGAGAGTCTTTGCATATTTGATCTATTTTGAATGGCGTGACACTGAAAACCAGCAATAGATTGTTGGATACTCAGTTTCATCTAACTGCGAGCTGGCTTCAATTCGCTTCCTCAGCTCGTCGCTCCAGTCTCTCAGCTTCCTTGCAAGTTCTACACCAGGTATGGCTCTTCAACTTCAAACCTAACTGACTGGCCTTGCTTCCAAATCACTTTCCGGGCGTCTAAAACATTGGTAGTCTCCCTCGCAGCCGTTTTTGGGATGGGAGGGAGACTATAAAACGTTGGAGATTCTGAATTTTTTTGATACACGTGACTAAGATTCTAGCATAAAGGCCAGTTTGAAGAGAACGAGCCAAACTTAGTATATCCCTATCATTTGCTCAACTTATACGCGCATGTTCCTGATCCTTTGCGCTAACATTCGTCACTGTCCATGATGTGCCGTCAATAGAGATATGTTCAACGCTCCGAGGAGGCTTAATGCTACCCTTGAAATGCGCTCTTGTAGCTTTAGGTAGCTTTAGTCTTCAGCATTAAAAAGATTGAATAAACTGCATGCCATCGAGGTTCCGTCGTTTGTCACAGGAATCTTTTGGAATGCTCCCTTTGAGCTGCAGTTTAACTGGACGCTGTTTTTTTTTAAAGTAAACTAAACCTCGCGGTTCAATATGAACTAAGCAAGGAAGTAACACTGATCGTTTCATTTGTCAGTCGATTTTAATTTCATTTTTTCCCGAGATTGTTGTTGAGTTTGCTTTTTATCTTTTGTTTGTGTGATTTTAATGCTGGCGCACTGCAAGAGGAATGTCTGGTGAAACTGCGCGCAGCCTACGGCATTTCCTTTTTAGTTCAGTGTTTTGTAAGATATTCCTTTTCAATATGAAACGAAGAAC